AATTTCATAAACTACACCTTACGATTTGATCTTCACAAACTTTATTTGAAAAATATATCACGACATGTTTCGCTAACACAGTAACTTCTTCAACAGTGATTAAGTGTATTCAAATCACTGTTGAAGAAGCTACTGTGTTAGCGAAACATGTGATATATTTTTCAAATAAAGTTTGTGAAGGTCAAACCGTGAGGTGCAGTTTATGAAATTACTGTGGATCTTCATCTAGTAACGGCCGAATTAATTAGAAAATGGTCACAATGATCAGACTGAAATTTGGACATGCATGTCCATAAACTTAACATTTGCGTATTCTGAACTCGGTACTTCAAAGAGAGATAGGTATACAAACGTGAGTGGTGGGTAACAGATTTTTTAAACATATGTAGACAGGACATATGACCAATCAACCGACAACTGCGGTATCAGAAATTTGCGAAAGTAACCTGAACCTGAAATTCCTTCGGAAAACGAATCCACATGTTTCTAGAAATGATATGGAATCTAGAAAGGTTAATGCAGTCAATCTGCTGGAAAATAATTCCACGAAAATCAAAAAATAAATAGATAGGTACTTTTTGATCAAAAGTTTTTATGTCAGTGTTGGTGGTTTGACCAATCAACCGACAAGTGCGGTAGCAGAAATTTGGGAAGCTAACCTGAAATGCCAACGGAAAACGAATCCACATGTTTCTAGAAATGATATGAAATCTAGAAAGGTTAATACAGTCAATCTGCTGGAAAATAATTCCACGAAAATCAAAAAATAAATAGATAGGTACTTTTTGATCATTCCCATATTGATTTCAATTTAAGAGCCACCGGTAGACAGCTGTTTCAGGGCATCGTCAGAACCGGACAGGCGGTTCTGTATTGAAGACGAAATGTGAGAAACCAAAAAAAGTACTTAATAAAGATAATTTTGATTGTCAAGTTGGCGGGAATTCGGTCAAAATGTTGAAGAAAACCAATTTGTAAATTGTCAACGTTTCGAAACTTTATTGTTTCATCTTCAGGACTATTTAGGGCGGCTTTCCGAGTTGAAGGGTAAAGTGGATAATTTCGACATAGAATATAAATACGTACACAGGTTGCTGAAAGACGTTGACACAGACACGAAGGGATCAACAGATTAACAGATTGTCTTTCTCAATTAGCCTGGTGTTATTTCGCCACACTTTTGTGAATGGAGGCACCGTCTAGTTGAAATATAACATTTATGCGTTCTTCAATGCTTAGTGGTCCCATGAAATCCAAGAATTTCGTTGTTAAAAATCATGAAATTCTCCACCGTTTAGTGTGTTTTAACAAAAAACGGGACCTATTATACGATTTTTTAATATTCCTATTTGTGAATATTTTTTTTTGCATTTATCATCCAGTGCGGATTCTTCCTTGTCCAGTACCTAAACTTCTGAGTGGACACTGTACGTTAGTGGTGAATGTCGGTGAAGAGAATATTGCCCAGAAAGTTATTATTATTCAAATATTCATCTTGGCAGAATGAACAGAATTCCAACCTTCGTTCTTCATCGCATTTTTCTAACATGTACGTATTTTAGATATACTAACGTGTAAATCTCGTGAAATCTGCCTCAAGCTATTTTTTGGGTTTTCTTGAACATACTCTAAAATTTGTCCGTGTAACTCTATATTCCCTCTTCGTCTCGGTACATGTGTTTCATTTACTCTCCCGATTCTATTGAATAACGTATTGATCCTGAAGACGGTTGTATGGTGAATTGGTTCACGATCTAAATGTCTCCTACTGAATTCTTCCGCGGCCACCCACGTTGATCGAGCATTATCACCAACTAAATGCACAACCTCAATTCTCTCGACAAGTTGAGATTTACCATTTTGAAAACTCGCAAAACTATTTTATAACTCTCTCCACCAAATACTCGTGAAAATCGTTGGAGGATAGCTAACTGTCAAAATAGTAACAACGAAAAAAGAGGCAAACTTAATTTCAAAGCCTGCTATGAAAAACAGTGCCTGGCTCATTGATCTGATCATATAAATATGCCGTATGAAATGAAATCATGAGAATTTTGCCAAAATCTGTCACCGGGTTGAGACAAATGTTTCAAAAACGCATTTGAAGGGGTATTTTTACAATCGCTGATTGACTGTTTATTAAACCAAAAAATCAAACGATATGGTTATCTGTATCTGTAGAGTAGGGAAGGGTGAATGTAAACCCACAGCACTAACGCCACATGTAACCCATTGTACATCCTCCTGAGCAATTGTCCTCTTAAGTCATCGTCCATCCTGTCTCGCACAGGGCATGCCTGACAGTCTCGTCTTCCTGTTCACACATCCTGCATAGAGGTGTATCCACTAGCCCCATATTATGGAGGTGTTACCTTAGTTGACAGTGGCCAGTCAGAAATCCTACTGTTAGGCGTAGATTTTTTCTGGTCATCGCCAGATATTTCTTCGGCGCCAGCTTCCCAGGGTGATCCTGGCAAGATTACATCCTTTGATTCCATCCCAACTCTTTAAGGATTGAGCATGGGTGTAACATATGACTAGTTCCGCAATTGTCGAAGTCATCAGGCCGTAGGTGCCACTGGGTCCTAAAATTCTTAGTCTAGCCGCTTCCTTGGCTAAAGAGTCGACAATGCGATTACCTTTACTCCTGTCGTGCCCTTTAACCCACCTCAGGATGATGTTATTATCTACCGAGGCTTTGGCTAAATCTTGGTGACACTCTAGTACTAGCCCTGAGGTTATACGTTGTCTGTTCAAGGCTAATTGGGCTTGTCTGCTGTCAGTGCAGATTGCTATGTTTTTGCCAGAAATTCCTTTCTTGTTATTTATTTTGTGGCGATTGAGATAACGATACGGTCAAAACATTTTCAACTTTTCATTTTTACCTTAGTTGACAGTGGCCAGTCAGAAATCCTACTGTTAGGCGTAGATTTTTTCTGGTCATCGCCAGATATTTCTTCGACGCCAGCTTCCCAGGGTGATCCTGGCAAGATTACATCCTTTGATTCCATCCCAACTCTTTAAGGATTGAGCATGGGTGTAACATATGACTGGTTCCGCAATTGTCGAAGTCATCAGGCCGTAGGTGCCACTGGGTCCTGAAATTCTTAGTCTAGCCGCTTCCTTGGTTAAAGAGTCGACAATGCGATTACCTTTACTCCTGTCGTGCCCTTTAACCCACCTCAGGATGATGTTATTATCTACGGAGGCTTTGGCTAAATCTTGGTGACACTCTAGTACTAGCCCTGAGGTTATACGTTGTCTGATCAAGGCTAATAGGGCTTGTCTGCTGTCAGTGCAGATTGTTATGTTTTTGCCAGAAATTCCTTTCTTGGTTATTTATTTTGTGGCGATTGAGATAACGATATGGTCAAAACATTTTCAACTTTTCATTTTTTTGAACTTGGGACATCTATCTGTATATACTAGTTTGCTATGATAAAACTTCGTATTTGAATATTTCATATGTTTCTCACTTCAATGGCTACTTTTTATTTCCTTTGAAGTGTACAGTTTGTTATACAGGGTCAGCAGAAAAATCATGAATTTTGGAATTTGTTATCATACAACTAACGCACTGTTTAAAATCTGTTTTTCCGCTAACCAGCTGTCGCACCCCTACGAACGACAACCCTCAGAAGTCGAAACTTGTGTGAGCTAAGGATCAACGAGGTCTTACCTTTTATCGTGTGATTCCTAACACTGTAAGAGATATTCGGCTGAAAATTGGTTTGTAGGGGTTTGGAATATGCCCGAATCGAATGAGTTACCCACTTTTCCGATAAAAAGTGCGTAATGGTCCTTCTCGATATTTCGACCCATTGAGCAGGTCACAGTAGGCGTTAGAAATAAGTCAAATCTATATCTAGCAACATCTTTGAATAGAATTCGTCGAGTACTTTAATTGGAATTTCAATTTTTCAAAATCAGTTCGTATGTTTCAAAATAACAGGGCAGTTTGAAATCGCACAATGATTAATATTCCGGAGAGATGCATATGACATGCTCCGTGTTCAGGTGAAAACACCTTATCCCTTGCCTCTCATGTAGATCGAAGACGTTGTAGGTACGCGTGGGAGATACCCAACGAAAAAAAAAAACAACAACTAACCCAGCTAATGCCGCGCAGAAAGCTGAAGTATAACCATCAGGCACCTGTGCAACGTCTTCGATTTGGAAGATTCGCCGCAAGTTATTTCCCACAATGAGAAGCAGAAATTAATTCGACTTGGTCGATACGACCAACCGATAGAATGGTTTCGGGGTATTTGCCCCATCATCAGTACCGGTCATGGTCTCTTCAGAACGGCGTGACCCGCCTGAGTGTCACGACCAAACAAATATAATTCAAGCTATTCATGAACTCTTTAAGTGGAAGTGGTGGAAGTCGAAATGATGATTATTATTCCGGAGTCGGAATGAAATTAATTTCCGCTTTTCATAGTGGGAAATAACTTGCGACGAATCTTCCAAATCGAAGACGTTGCACAGGTGCCTGATGGTTTTACTTTAGCTTTCTGCGCAGCATTAGCTGCGCAGAAAGGTGTTTTTTCCGTTGGGCATTTGCCACACGTACCTACAGAGTCGTAGATCTACATGAGAGGAAAGGGATAAGGTGTGTCCACCTGATCCTGGAGAATGTCATATGCACCTCTCCGGAATATTAATCATTATTCCGACTTCCACCCCGGAGTATGTATTTGTGGAGTTGTCTCCTGACAACTGGGTATTACCACATAAAAGATGAAGTGAGATCCGGTTTTCTGGTATGAGATACAGATTCAAATTATTGATTTTTGAATTTATACTCCAAACCAAAAATTGAGATTCAGCAACTTTTATTTTTGAGAAATTATGTTATAGTGACTCAATTATTTAAAGCACCTTTGAGTAGGTACACTAATAATTCATTACTGAAAACAAATATTTTAATTATTCAAAGAGTTCATGATGGAATACCTTTATGAATAGTAATTTTAGGTGAAGTGGAAAATACTCACTCTGGCTTTTGGATCCAGTGGAAACAGAAGAAAGAGAACACGTGATCGAACCTATTTTCCAAATCACAAGGTAAATTTTCCGTTGAAATGTCGAGTTGGAGGTGGCTAACTTTCGGGTCTTGAAAATTTGTTCCAGCGAAATCTACCATTTCTCGAGAAATATCACTGCAGATCAGCTCCTTGAAAGTTTTCGGTACATGTGGGAAGAGAATGTATTTCACCGTATTTCCGAGACCTGAGCCAATGTCCAAAATTGATTCGTTTTCCTTCCATGTCAGCAAACTCTGGTATTTTTCCATTATATTTCTATTAACTCCCTGTGCATGCTTATTTACTGTTGAATACAGTTCTGGTTGATTCATATTCTCAATATTCAAATTTTATAAAACTTCACGAAGCTACTAACTAGGTATGTGAGTGTTGTTATAGAGTTTTTTCTTGACCAGATTATATTCGACTACAGTGAAGAAATAGCTTACTTATCGCTTAGATACGAAAGGCCAATAAAATTGAACACAACTAAATGAGATAAAAATCGTATAACAAACTTTTCGAGTCTATTCAGTGATTACTTCACTAAATGATTTGTTTGTACTGGATAAAGAAGAGTTTATATTTTATTTCAATAATAATTTTGTTCAGAATGGTTTTTTGACTATAATTTCTTTATGCCCAGATATATTGGGAATCTTTTTAGGTAGACTTCGGCCACATGACTTTTCGCTAGAGTATCAGAATATGTTCAATACCTTTTTATTCAAGCTTTCTTCTGACCTAGGACACACTTGACTCTCTATTTCAAATTATTGATTTTGATAGGGTTTGTTGGGTTTGTATTATTCAATAATACTCTAAAATAGTCAATTTTGCTATAGTATTTCCAATAGCAATTGGAACAGCACAGAGAAGGAATTCCCGACTCGACATAGGCGTCGGCATATTATTTTTCAGTGGTAGCTTTTCAGTTACTTATTCTTACAATCATAGCAATTGATCACCCCATGAATAAGTTATCTCAACTGAATTTTTCCACCATGGGTGATTACGAAAAACTTCGAAATTTAAGGTAGTTGATTTCCGAGTTGCAAACTCTAAAATACAATGAAAACTCAAATAATCACACCGAATTCTCGTCAAACGTATATTTCCAAAATAATAGAGGGCAACAAAATTGCTAGAAAAATGAAAATTCTTCTTCGCTATATTCGGATGAGGTGGAATCATCGGGTTGAATAACGATCGTGTGCCATACGTGGGCCACATAGTTCTTCCACACATCACTATTACCTACTTCATTCACCACTCGCCTTATATTGTCAAGCACTACAGCATTCAAAGTCGGTGCCTGATTACATTTCCGCAAGCTTTCTTTCATTGTGGCCCAAACCATTTCAATTGGATTGACCACACAGTAGTATGGAGGCAAACGTAAGAGAATATGATCACGTGTTTCACACATCGAATCAATAATATACTCTTTTTTGAAATTACGTTGTTTCGTGGTCGTCAGTAATACCTTTTTCGTTGGAATCTTTTCGGGTATTTCCATGTCATAATTTCGCATGAAATCAACAATATCTGCTTTTTTGTGTTATTGTTTGGTATTGTGGTCAATAACCGAGGATGATACGAAGCGTTATCCATAACAATAACCGAGTTTGAAGGAATATTTGGGAGAAGCTGCTCACTGAACCAGGTTTCGAATAAAACCGCAGTCATATCTTCGTGGTAATCAGCAGATGAAACTTTTATATTTTTAGCCGACAGAAGCAAAGCGTAAGGTACGAAATCACTTTCATTCCCGACATGCAAAATTATAACACGTTTTCCACATGAAGAAGATGTGCTCAAAGCACAATACTTGGTTTCGTCTACCCAGCCATATTTGACAACATCATGGGTGTTAAACCAAGTTTCGTTGAGGTAGATTATATGTCTGCTGGATTGTCGGTAGCTTTTCATTCGCCTCAAATATTCTTGTCGGAGTTGAACAATGCGTGTCGTATTTCATTATGACCATCCGATTGTTCAATTTTTTATATTTGAAACTCCAAAACAATAAGACACCTCGTAGAGTTTCTAAAGATTTGTAATTGTAATCCGGATAGTCGAGTAATTTATACCAAATCATTTCCAAGGTTGGTATTTAATTTTTTTGGTGTATACCATAATTTTTTTGCCAAATCACATCTTTTGCAGCACCATCAACGTTTGCGATTTTTTTATTTTTTTGTTGTCGTTTCATTGCATGATCAATGACATCCCCTATTTTAATGACTCGAAGAACTGTCGAACGAGAAGGAGTTTCGTTAACTCGCATATTCTATTCACAATAGCATTCTGTGAAGTGTGACAGTTTTCCTTCTTCAAGCATTCATGAGTATTTAAAATTAGTCGCTAAACTTGAACATGTAAGTCCTTATTTTCAAATTCCGGATCCCTGTCGATTGACACAGATTCCTCACACGTAATGTTACCATTTGTTTGAAAAAGGTCTCCAGAAAGCCAAATTGATGAAAGTACCCAAAAACACTAAGATTTTCACAAAAATCGGTTTAAGCGATGAGATTGGAACCTTTGGTGTAAAAGTTGAAAATTTTTTGAGATCAATTACCCTAACATCAAACTGATATTTTTGCACTCGACGTGCGTTTCGCTAACAAGGTTAGCATCTTTAGGAGAAGCAAATTGATACTGAATCTGAAGACAAGGGTTAGCTGTTTATATACCTGAAGTTTTTTGTTCCGATGTGGACTTTGTTAAATGATGATAATCCTAATTTATTTTTCAGTAATTAACTAATGGAACCACTATCTGCAAATTAATTTGTCCGCTTTTTAATCTATTGTTGCGTATTTCTACGCTGGCTTGGCTGAATACGTTGTTGGACAACATGTAAGCGGATTCCTTGAATTTTCTCCTAAACCAATGTTCCTCTCTGTGCAAGATCTCAGCTTGGGACCACTTGATGTTGTGTTGATGGGTCCAAACATGGTCTGCTATTCCTGATTTGCTGGTTTCCTCTCGCTGTGTGTGTTTCTTGTGCTCGGCAATGCAACCATTCAATGGCCTCTTAGTTTCACCAATATAGGATTTTCCGCATTCACAGGGTATCCGGTAAATGCAATTCTTGGAATCGCAGTCCGCGTTTGGTGGCCTGGTTTTCGTGAGGCTGCTACGGATAGTGTTACCGGATCTGAAGCAAGTTTTGATGTTGTACTTGGAACCAATTCTTCTTATCCTCTCCGATAATCCTCTGATGTAGGGAAGTGCAAGTATTGGTTGTGACGGCTTCTCTTCCTTGCGAGGCTCCTGCCAAAGTATTTTCTACCATCGCTTTGGAGTAGCCATTCCGTTGAAGATCGTTTTTGATGATGTCTAGTTCCTTCTCGAGACCTTCCTTGGTATTACAGAGCCCAAAAGTACGGTCTAATAGAGTCAAGAATTATTCCTTTTTCAGTCGATTGATGGTGGTTGGATTCGTGGTTCAGATACTGTCCCGTATACAGATGTTTCCCACTTAGTGTCGGTCATCTTCATCAAAACGTCTAAGAATGGCAATTCGTTGTGGATTTCCTTCTCTATTGTGAAAGTGATGAAAGGTCTCACGCTGTTGATATGTTTCACTATTTTATTTCACTATTATTTCATTTCAGATTTATTTTGCTTAATATAATTTCTATTTTCAGCTATTCATTTTTAATTCTTCTTTTTTAGTTGTTTTAGGGATTTCAAATCATTTTATATAGTAGACAATGCATATCAATTAAGTTGAGGTTTGTTATAACAAATTATATTTATGATGCACTGTTTGGAACCTTTGATGTAGTGATGAATATTACTGGAGTTTTTTCCCAACACCAAATCGTTATTTTCAACACCTCGACACGTGTTTCGATCACCAAGTGATCATCTTCAAAGAGAAAGATTAAAACTGTTTTAATTTTAATCTTTGAAGATGATCACTTGGTGATCGAAACACGTGTCAGAGTGTTAAAAATAACGATTTGGTGTTGGGAAAAAACTCCAGTAATATTTATTAATCTAATATATAACAGTATAACAAACCAAAACAGTCATTCACGACTTTTGTATGATTTCATCAAAAAACATCACGGACCTCAAGCTTTTTTTTTCTATACCGACACACATTCTTTAATAGTGATAATGATGACAGACAAATTTTATGTTTCAGCAAATCTGTGTTTGTATTCATGAAGAATGAACTTCCGAATGATCCCATAATCCGTTTTCATGGCACCGGTGCTGAAACATATCTCGTTCAGAGCGTGCTAGTTGAAATCAAGCTGAAGGTGTCGAACAATCCGTTAATAAAAATCAAATTTCAGTTGACGATTACATTAGGATTGTTGGAATAGGTGGTACAATATTGTAGAAGATGAATGTATTCAGGGAAATGTATTATACGCTAATGTGTAATAAAGTCAATTCATCACATGGGGATGATGATCAATTCATAGTTCCTAATGTCAGTAAGATATTACTATATGGCCGTAACGATACTGATTTCTATCAAATTAGCTCCACACAAAACTTGATAGTATTGATAGATGGGAACAATATTATTGATAAAAATCTAGATCTTTTCATTGCATTATTGGAAAAGCAATTCAGTAATTGGAAATCTTATTTTCTATTTTTTGCATTCAACAACTTGGTAAATCCACATTTGTCGAATTATTCCACCCCACTTTCACACCCACTGGAAGTGGGGGTGAAAGTGGATTTTTCAACACGAAAATATTATATCAGTAACCTCACCTTTGCTGAAAAATGCGTTATTAACTCCTCTGAATAAGGCCCAGTTGCACGGAGTGAAGCGGAGGAAGGCGGTTGTCCACCAGGACGTCATCCTCCAAGAAACATGTGTCCCATAACTACCGGCGATGACTTCCACTGACGAGTTGCTGCCGGACCTCTCACTGTCTCATCATTCTTTGTTGGGTCTGTCGGATTCGGAGGATGCATACCTGAAGCGTATGGCACCTCCACTAACTGTATTATCGCAAATCAGTTCGAGTGATGAGTTAGAGAATCCCAGAAAAAGGAAAAGGGACAGTGGAGAGGTTGAGAAGCTGGCGAAGAAAGCCAAGAAGTCCGGGTCTGTGAGAACGCCAAACCCACCATCGAAGTGGAAGGCAAGATGGGTTCTTTCAACAAGAAATTTCTAAAGAACTATGCTTGGCATGCAGTACATCTGCTGCCGGTCCAAAATGTGAGAGAGGTGGGAGTTATCGCCGGATCTTTAAGTGTGTCAACCTATCAGGAGGTCATCGAGGATGGAGTTTATCGGGATGCTGGTCTACCAACTACGCGCCAGGTGAAAGTGCTCCACCCCGAACACAAGAATGTTGTGGAAAATAATCTCTCACAATATGTGCTCCAGGAAAAGAAATTCGCAGAGTTCACTTACGCGTAGAGTGTAAAAAAAATGCCCAAGGTGCAGCAGCTCGATACCCAGCCATACACATTTGCAAACTTCCTGTTTCGGGGTTTATATGACCTCTGAAGACTGTGTCATATGAGGGATTTCCTGATAGTAACTTTTTTCATGCGTTCGTACCTCATCATTGTTATGAACGTGTAACATCCTGTTTCCAATACATACTAACTTCAAAAATGAATATTGAATAAGGTTTGACATCTGACGGTTTAACTATTTCAGTGCATTATTGGCGGAAGTGTAGAATCGCAACCCTTTGATTGGAGCTTATACCTCAAGTGATGTATCGATCAACCCAATTTCGTTTGCAAAAAGTACGATATTGCACAGAATTCAAACGACCTTGCCGCCAGAAACAAAGCAGATCAAGAGCTCGAAAAAACTTGTCTGAAGTCGATTTAAAGTAAAAGACGCTTCTATAAGGGAGGAAGAGGCTGCTTGGCTGAGAACAAATATAAATAAGAAGAAGCGTCAATTTGGTATGGGGAGTGAGTCATCACCCAAACTACGTATACAGACGAAGAGACGTGCTGTCAGGAAAAAAAACTAAAAAAATATTGGAGGCCCTAATGGTAGTAGCTTTCGGTTCTGGTATCGTTAGAAAAGTACATGATGTTCCACATAAGGCAAAAGGGAGCGAATTTGTTGTCAAAAATTCGAAAAAAGCAGATGAAATTGCATAGAAGGGAGCACACAAATATACGAAGGCCGCAAGTGCGGAAAAACTTCCCTTAACACAAATTATACCAATTCCAAAAGTCGGTGGAATTTTACCACTCATATCAATATTCGCCGGTTCATCAGTATCAGGTAGTTTAGCCGGCGGTACAGCTGGCGTAACAGAATCAGTTCAAGCAGCAAGAGCAAGCATGTGTTTGTCATAATAAACACATGCAGGCAATCACCTCATCGCGAAGGATTAGCGGTGTCACTGAATACTCAAAATTCAAAAAAACTCATAGATTTGTTATCTCAAAGAGCTCTCTCTACTGTCGAACTCGACTATCACGCTGAGAGAATGATGATTTCTTATTTTCGAAGGGTATTCGAAGGGTCTACCAAAATCAGGACTATACCGATATGAATCTGCCGTAGTGAATTTGAGATCTGAAAAACTGGCGGAGTGAATTTAACGGAATTTAAAAAATTGTTTGCTGATGTGGCAAAAGGTGGCTCAGAAATGAAACACGCGAAAAAACGATTGGAGATATAGGCGAAAAGACTATATAAATACCAGATTGAAAAAGCAGCGGAATTAATGAAAGAAGGCGATACTGAATCTCCTTTGCCGTCTTCTCTTGTACTTCCTACAGCCGAAAGTCAATACAGACGAAAACAATATATTGACTCTGATCCAAACAAAGAACTCCCAAAAATTGAAGCAGAATGATGCTGCAAACATCATAAGAGGTATAATAGGTCTAGATCCATTTTACGTACACTTCTGGACTATGTGGAGAGATAGAGATTATGTGGATAAAGGGTTCAGTTGCTTGTGTATTGATGCCATAGGTTCAATCATAAGGAAAATCGAACACAACGAAAAAGCTGAACCTTAATCAATTCATTTATACCACGGTGTGATTGGTTTTGGAAAAGCATAATTTTCATGCAATGTTACAATTGATTAGTGAAAGTCAAAATTCAAACACCAGTCGTTACAGATGGTGGGCGGGCTGACAGAGCATTCACAAATTGTTCCACGATTAGTAATTATTCTGATGCGTGCTACGGTTCAAACTTACCATTATGCTATATGCGAATAGACAACGGCCACTTTATGAAAACTTACGTTCAATTATTGAAACATGCACCTCGACAAGTTGCAACAAATCATTTCGCAAAGTTTTTTACGGAAAAATCAAGAGTTTGTAGGTACATCGATCCCTGAACTCTTCCGACCTCCAGTTTCCATAGTGTTTTTGATTCTCTGTACTCAGTCAGTACGTTTAAAGAAGTAACAAATATTGAATCAAGTTTCAACAACAAAAAATCGAGAATTAAGTTAGGATGGCCGGTTTGTTGGTTCACCAATCTCCATTCTGGTCGGAAGAGATGGAGTGCACAATCTGGTGTTAGAATTGGTTAAATTATATGATGAGAAATATTGGAGCTCTAGAACTTTTGAATATATTTGGTTAGACAAGCGAAGATGATATAAATTTAAAAGTTTTGAAGCCTTAATTGTATTCCATTCAATATATACATATTCCATGAGGAGATATCTTGAAGCTCCATCTCTCCAATAGAAATCAAAGTATCGAAATTGTAATTAAATTCATAAAAGATGAAGAATTGTTATGATAGAAAATAATATTGAAAAATATGTGAAGCTATCAAAAAAACGATTGATGCATGTAGAAAAAAAATTAATATAGGCAGACTCAAAGAAAAGAAATGAATTTTCAGGACAGTAACAGTAGACATGATTTTCTATCGACTACTGATCTAATATCGATTCAATGAGAGAAGATAAAGAATAGGAATAATCAACAACAGTTTTCATTCACGGTTGATTATTTAAATATGTCAGTCACTTCAATGTTGCCAGTATTAATTTGCGTCAAAATTGTGATTTGAACAAATAACATAGAATTTTTCAAAACTATCTGAACATAATTTCAAGGTGTGTTTTTGAACTCATAATGAGACGTTATAAAGTTGGAGAGAAGCGACATTTCAAAGTTACAATAAAAAAGCTGGAATTTTGATCACAGACGCACTTAAATATGTCAGTCACTTCAATGTTGCCAGTATTAATTTGCGTCAAAATTGTGATTTGAACAAATAACATAGAATGTTTCAAAACTATCTGAACATAATTTCAAGGTGTGTTTTTGAACTCATAATGAGACGTTATAAAGTTGGAGAGAAGCGACATTTCAAAGTTACAATAAAAAAGCTGGAATTTTGATCACAGACGTACTTTTCAATTATGAAATTCGTAATCATTGCGACAATAAACATTTGTTCTGAGAAACTGTGGAGTAACGGAAAGTTTTTTGATGATAAGAGATATTATTTTGGTTTCTTTGAAAAGGATAGAATACTAGAAAGGAAAAAAGAAGCAAAGGAAAAATATTTTTATAAAATCTGGAAGCATGTCAAAAATTACGGACAAGTGTTTTTGTCAGTTTTGTACTGGAAAAAATAAGTGAATTTGAATTCCGAGTATTCCGTGCATTGGTGACATCATGCTAACATGTTTTTTCTATGGCTATTCATTCTCAGAATGTCTTCACCAATGTATAAAAATATATTGGAAGTGATTTTTCTAGTCAGCTAAATAGTCCCAGAGACGTGTGCAATAATTCCAAAAAAATATTCATGCAACACTTCATTGTGATATTTTCACTGGATAGTTCACAACCGGCAAAACGTATTTCGCTATATAGCTTGAGAATACTATTGTATAGCAACACGTGTTGGGGTTTTGTAAACTGTTCGGTGAAAACCTTACAGTGAAGTGTTACTTGAGTTCGTTTAGGATTTACATTATGAATCGGTTAATTCCCTAAGAAAAGCTCAATGAATGATTTTTACACTCAAACTCCACCACAACACTATCAGCATAAGGCGTTTTTTTCGTTAATATGTAACTGTCTGCCATCAGATATTTCCATCTGTGTGTGTATAACTTGTTGTTAATGACACCACTTCCGTAATTATGATTATTTATTGCACAACTATTCACTTCATAACTGACACTACCAACCACAACCATTTACATTATCAGTCCCAGAGCACGTTACTATTAATGTGTCTATTCATTGTATGCCGGTAGGTTACCTTACAATAGGCAGCATGTATTTCTGGTTGCCTAAACATAAGTAGTGAAACAATATTACATACTGTGCATATCAATGCTGAATATGAATACATCACCAATTATTCTAGTTTCCATTGCAGGTAAAGGACCATCCCAGTTTTTGCAACAAACATATTCTTTATCGAAGGTTGTAGGTTGTAGGATCAACAATATTTCATGTTTCTTACGCCTAAATAAGTTTTTTGTTCTGTAATCGATAATGGATGCAATTCCTGAAATCGCATTTTATTCAATTTGGACCATTACCCTTCGGCCACTACTGTAATTGGGGGACTTCCATCAAAATATTTGTTTACATTTTCCACACTGTTCCCCTCGAAAAATGCATTTCAAGTCAAACATTTCTTGATTGAAAATAAATTCAGGTAGCGAATCAAAAGCAAAACTGTTCAAGTAATTCGAAAATTCTGCCCACTTCTCAACGTGAAACTAGTGAAGCAGGAACAAAAATTAAATATCATTGTAACCAATCAAAATTTTCCTAGAAATATATGTTTTGAAACAAAAATCAAATATTTACTACTCATTCCACACTACCGCGGTGGTAGTGCGCCCGACTCACGATCAGAAGACCGTGGGTTCATTCCTGCCTCGAGCAGATATTTTTCTCGAGAGAAATCATCTGGTTGAAGCTGGGATGATTCTGCAACCGTGTTAGGAATCACACGTTAAAAGATAAGACCTCGTCAGTTCTTAGCTCGTACAAGTTTCTCAACTTCTGAATGTTGAGGGCGACAGTTGATTAACGGAAAAACAGATTTTAAGCAGATTTTAAACAGAATTAGTGAATAGAGGTGTCGGGCGCTGAAACAATTTTTGTATTTGAATATTTCAATTTTCAATCAGAATATGCATTCTGAAAACTGTAATTTCATATTCCAAGGGCGTTGGATTATATTCGTCAGTTGTCACTGTCGAATATAATTCACTGTTGTCGGATATTCCCAGTAAGTGGAGATAAGTAAGAGTAGTATTCATACCCAAACCAGGTAGGATGGACTACACCCTACCAAGAGCATTCCGAACAATTAGTCTCACATGGAGAGGCTATGTGAGCGGTTCATAAGAGATGAAGTACTAGTTCACTACCCACTTCATCCAAATCAGCATGCATATACTCCGAGAAGGTCCACTGATTCTGCCCTTCACCATGTGGTTGGCAAAATCGAAAGATCACTGGACGATAAAGAATCCACCCTGGGTATATTCATAGGGGCGTTTGATAAAACAACCTTCCAACAATTACCCAGCGACTACACTGCAGGAATGTACCCCTGGTAGTAGGAGAATGGATACTCAAGATGCTCTCTATTCGAGCAATAAGTATTAATGTAGACACCACAGTGAAAAGACTGGTCATGGGGGGATATCCATAGGGAGGGGTCTTATCACCCCTTCTCTGGAACATAGTTCTGGATACCCTGATCAATCACCTTAACAAAAATGGATTCTACACAATTGCATACTCATATGACATAGTTATCTTGCAGACCGGCAAATTTGTAAACACACTGTGCGATAGAGCACAGGAGGGGCTCAAATTAATAGAAACATGGTGTGAGGAACATTCACTGTTGATCAATCCCAAGAAGACTGAGATGGTCCTTTTCACCAGGAAAAGAAGTTTAACGGGCTTAAAACCTTCCGAAATCTTCAAATGCAAACTAAACTTCTCTGAAGAGGTGAAATACTTTGGTACTATCCTTGACAGGACGCTAACATGGAACTCTCATCTACATAATAGAGCAAAAAGAGCATACGTGGCTTTTGAGCAATGTCGGAGGACAGTGGGACGCGCATGGGGTCTTTCACCCCGTGTGGTCACCTGGATCAACACCGCAATAATAAGACCTATGTTAACGTATGGAGCCATTGCATGGGGACCGAAAGTTCTACAAGCAACGGCCATCCAAAAATTATACCAAATACAGCGAATGGCTTCTTTAAACATCACAGGAGCCATGAGAACAACACCAACCGCGACAATGGAAATAATCACGGGTCTGACTCCTCTTGATCTGCACGTTATGGTGGTTGCGTTAATGGCCATGGTACGATTGCGCACGGCTGGTGTAAACTTCGAAGTAGGAATGTGTCAATTGAGGCTGGGCCTGTGGCGGGAAGTGACGCAATTGAACCCAGGTTTGCGTTTAATAAACCCTACAAAGTACAAATCAAGCAGAACATAGATTCAGATGATACAAATGCAATACGGATTAATACATACGGCTCAAAAATCAAAGAAGGCTCAGGGTGTGGAGTGTACTCCAGATCACTGAGCCTAAGAATTAAGTGGGGAATGGAAAGAAATATCAGCGTGGTCCAAACAGAACTGGCTGGTATCTCAATCGCCACAAAAGAAATAACCAAGAAAGGAATTTCTGGCAAAAACATAACAATCTGCACTGACAGCATACAAGCCCTATTAGCCTTGAACAGACAACGTATAACCTCAATACTAGAGTGTCACCAAGATTTAGCCAAAGCCTCAGTAGATAATAACATTATCAGATAATAACATTATCCTGAGGTGGGTTAAAGGGCACGACAGGAATAAAGGTAATCGCATTGCCGACTCTTTAGCAAAGAAAGCGGCTGGACTAAGAATTTTATGACTCAGAGGCACCTACGGCCTGGCCACCTATGACAATACCGGAAATAGTCAAATGTTACACCCATGCTCAATCCTTAAAGAGATGGGACCAAACCAAAGGATGTAATCTTGCCAGGGTCACCTTGGGTGACCTTGGGAAGCTGGCGCCGAAGAAATATCTGGCAATGACCAGGAAAAATCTACGCCTAACAGTAGGATTTCTGACTGGCCACTGTCAACTGAGGAAACACCTCCATAATATGGGGCTGGTGGACACACCTCCATACAGGATGTGTGAACAGGAAGATGAGACTGTCAAGCATGTCCTGTGCGAGTGCCCGGAGTTATCGCCAATAAGAGAGTGTGTGTTCGGCGAGTCTTGGCGTACACCTGCCGATATAAAGGAGATGTCTCCCAATGACCTGTCCACCTTCCTGGAAAGGACAGGTTGGACGATGACATAGGAGGACAACTCCTCGGGAGGATGTACAATGGGTCACAGGTGGCCTAAGTACTGTGGGCTGACACTCACTCTCCCCACTCTACAGACAGATGCATTCTGAAAACTGTAATTTCATATTCACTAACGGCCTTCCGTCAGTAAAATAAAATAGAAAGATATTTGCATTCCATCGGTCATTTATTATTGTATTCAATTTCAATGCAACTACCTATACTGTAGGTTAATGGACTGACACCTACCAGAAAATAAGTACTCCCCTGGCTAACACCACGAAGGGCGTTGGATTATATTCGACAGTTATCAGTGCAGGATTCTTCACTGCAGGATTCTTCACTGCTGTCGGATATAATCCAACGCCTACTCCGCAGGTCTTGTCACGGGTTCTCTCTGGGGTTTCAATATGCCTACTGCTTAGTTCGAGCGACGCTTGACTTGGCAGTGGACCACATAGGAGGCTTGGTTTTTTGAAATTTGTGTATTGTCTTTTGCTGATTCAAAAGAAGGCGTTTCCGTAAGGGGAGATTTCATAGCGTCTTACTCACTTTGACTTGTCTTTCAAAGATATTACGGTGTTCACAGTGTGGGGTTAAATAAAGAATTAATACTGAACACGTCTGAGGAAACTATTGTACGAGGGTGGTCTGACAAGTTTCCGACCTCAACATGAAGATAACAGCACTTCTAAATAAAAGCTAGTTAATTTCGTTGTTCATCTGTTAATAGTTACCAAAGTTTCAGCCATTTTGGACGCATAGTTGTTGTGTAACAGTCGTTTGAGTGAGTTGATGTGAGTGTTTTTATGAAAATGGACAAAATCGAGTGTCGAGCTGTCATTAAATATGGGTTTTCGAAAGGCAATACGCCTACGCAAATCGAAGATGAGTTGAATTCTGTGTGTGGGGGCTCTGCATCATCATTTACCGAAGTGACATTTTGGGCAGCAATATTCAAACGTGGCCTCAAGAGCTTAAGAGACAATAAACGTTCGGAACATCCAAAACTGCAACTACCGATGAAAACATCGCCAAAGTTTATCAAATGGTTCTAGACTATCGCCGAATTAAAGTGAGAGAGATAGTAGAGGTTATGAACGTGTCCAAAACACTTGTGTGTCACATTGGGTTCCGCGTTTGATCACGATGGACCAAAAACGTGTTCGAATGAACATTCTCGACGTTCTGTTGGCCCAGTTCAGGTGCAATGAATTTTGGCGCCGATTAATTACTGTAGATAAAACATGATACACCATCTTACGCCCTGAATAAAAATACACACAGCGGACTGCAGAGGAGAAACCGTTTCAAAAAAAGCAAAAACTGTTTTTTCTGGGAAAGTGATGACAAGTTTTTTGAAAAAATCATGGAGTTATTCCAATCGATTATAGGAGCATAGTTACGCATCATTACATGACAACGCACCGTCTCACACCTCAGCCAGTGCCATCCATTTGCCTTACTCACTAGATCTATCCCCAAGTGACTTCTTTTTGTTACCTCATCTGAAAATTGCGCTCGAAGGACATATATTATCGCTGAATGAAGAGGTAATCACCTTCGTGAATAATTATTTAGCAGAGAAAAATGCCGAGTACTATTTGGACGGGTTACAGAAATGGGAACATCGCTGGGAGAAGTGTGTAGAGTTGAAAGGAGACTATGTAGGGAAATGAAACCCTTACGGGTGGCATTCACTTTAGAATCATTTTTCTAACCACCTACTTGGTCTTTCCATCGGAGTTTGAATCCTTCCGCTTGGACTGTCTGTCATCAAAGTCTCTGAGCTTTTATGAGTTCAATAACACTTTTTCTCGTACCATACAAAAGAAGATGGGAACTAAAATTATTTCTAGAATATCTCCACGATATTTTCAATATGAAATGAGGGAAAACCGAAAACAATTATTTTCGATTGGGAAAAATAAATCACGTTGTCTTAGTCTGTTCATACAAATTGGCAGTTTTCAGTTTCAGTTCTTAGTCAGTCATTTTATACAAAACAATGTAATTTGCGTAATTAAGTGGTCCTAGTCAAAAGTAGTTTCTGTGGAATATTTGCAGTTTTATTTCTAAGTTTGTATAAACTGATGACTTTTTGAAAAATGAGAAATGAAACTTTCTATGTTTTTTACCACTTTTATTTGTAACTAACGTTACTGCATTTTCGTCTTTTACGGACATTTTCAAACTCATACAAGTTTATTGTATAAGTTTACTGTATAGGACGAAACTGAAGTAACGTTAGGTACAAGTGAAAGTGGTATTTCTCATAATTCAGGATGATCTCCTAACCACGTAGTAACGACTGCATCCATCAATTTATTGATGACTTTTCATTATATGAATCACCATATTATTTCTCACAAAATTTGGAAAAAGGAAAATCAGGCTTCACACATGGTTGTTTCCGTTAAAACCAAACTGGGCATCAATGCAATCTCATTGAAATACGAATAGGTATCAGATAGTAAAAGGGTTGTACTATAAGAAAGCTAGATAAAATTAGGCTCATTTTATCATTCCCCAAATACAGGGTGTTTGTTAAACATGCGGCAAAAAATTGAAGGGTTACTCCTTGGAGTATTTTGAGGAAATTTTGTCCTTGGATGATTTTTGATAGGACACTTTGTTTCGAAGACACGGGTCGAAAAAGAATTTCGACAATAACATTTTTGCTAATTTTAAAATTATAAACGTGGTCGAAATAAAAGTTTAGCGTACTACACTGCAACTACCAAGTAATAAAAAATCGTAACAATTCCGTTGGTACCTGTCAACAAAATTTCGATTACTACAAACGACTGCAGATATTCAATTTGCGAGGTGTAACGCACTCATAAACGATCCTGGTGTTTTTGAAAGAGTCGATGAGAAGAAGATTGGATTCTTGCATCCGAGGGGGGTAGTCATTTTCAAGAGGTTTTGTAGATAAAGCGACATTACATGTAATTTTTGGCAAGAAATTGTTATTGTCGAATTTTTTTTTTTCGCTCCGTATCTTCGAAACATAGCGCTCTATCAAAAATAATCAAAGGACAAAATATCCTCAGAAGAAATAGTCCTTTGAATTTTTGCCGCATGATAAATAAACACCCTGTATATTGGCAAACTTATTTCTATTAATAAATATATTTGTTGGCTCATGAAATCGTCGAGTTGCGGACATTGATCATTTCTACTATCCGATTTCGTGTTTCACATACATATACAATATTTATTCACAATTTGAATTTCGGGAATTTCATGTGGAGTTTACCCAACTTTTTCATCCATCATATCTGACATGATCCCTTATTTGTAGAATTTTGCGACAGGTGTAACATTTTTTATCACTATTTGCATTGAAACTTAGTCGAAAATCTAATAGTATTGGAAAAAAATGTGAACATATTGGACGAATGATAATTGGATGATGATTACTAATTACAAGTTTCCATATGTTGCGTATCTCTGTGCTAGTTTGACTGAATGCGTCGTTGGATAACATATATGAGCTTCTTCGAACTTCCTCTTGAACCAGTGTTTTTCCCTGTGAATGATCTTAGTTTCGGACCACTTGATGTTATATTGATGAGTCCAAACATGATCTATTTGGAGTAACCATTCCGCTAAAGATCTTTTTAAATGGTGCCTAGAGTCTTCTCGAGACCTTCCTTCGTATTACGGAGCCCGAGAGCACGATCCACTAGAGTGTTGAAGATGATTGTGGATACTAATAATGGAAACGTTGTGGAGTAACTTGGTTTGAAATCTTCATTAATTTCTTGCTTGTTTTCATTTCCATTCTTTTTATTTCTTTTTACTCTGTAGTCATTGTCATTCTGTATCTTGATTATTTTATTCTTTTCATTGTATTTTCATTTCAGGTTTCATTGCTTAATATAGGCCGTTTCTTTTATCATGTGGTAACATTGCCATATTCTAAACCGTAACAGATACGAATACGATTAAATGGGAAAGAAGGTAACTGTCTTCGGGAACAATACAATGGTCGAGGAAAATTTACGGGGACTCCCGCCCTTTTTGAGTTATACGGGGAAAACCAAAAATGCTGTTTTTCGTTTTTTTTCCGAATGGAATTGTTATTTCGGAGAATATCAACCAATGAAAAAAGGAAATGTTACTGTACTCGAAGTGTACCATGACGATGTAATCATAAATATTCGATAAAACGTTTCGTGTCAACATGGCCACCATCAACTTTTTTTTTAATACGGACCTGTCTTTTTTATTACAGATANATAAATATTCGATAAAACGTTTCGTGTCAACATGGCCACCATCAACTTTTTTTTTAATACGGACCTGTCTTTTTTATTACAGATATTGATAAAGCCATACATTCACAATCCAAGGGTATATCACATTTGATATTTTTATAGCGTTTTATTTGAAATAACTATTATCATCAGTGACAACAATCAAATAGAAAAACATTTTATTTTATCATGAACTTTTGGGACAAATGAAACCAATGCGGAAAATCAAAGCTACATGGCAATCTACATTGAATGCTCGAATTGATGACCTCTTTAAATGCAGATAAGTTGTCGGTCCAGATAATTTCTGTGGCAATTTCCTAGCAAATAGGTTTAATACTAATACATGCATCTCTTATTTTTTGTTTGAGATGATTGGTGGTATTTCATGTCGGATATTCAGTGGCAATTTATCTAAGTAGACCAACAAAACATTTATTCCGAACCATTTTTGGAAATTGGTTTCTCTATATAAATGTTCATTTGAATTATTCTACCTACAATGGATATTTCTGTTAAACCAACTAATGTTGGTGAATTTTGATTGGTCCGTCCATATTATTTTGTTACAAATATTTCTATATAACTTCTCTATTTGTAGGTCTTAACCACTTCGCAAATAATACTCTCATTCCGTAATCCCTTTCATTGAAGTGATGAACTTTGTGTATCCTGTTGCATTTATATTTGTTCTTTTTCAAAATAGTTCTGGTGGATTTTACTGAAATATCCATTACGTGGGCAATTTCTCGTAAAGAACAATCTTGATTAGCATAGGTTTTGTAACTGGCCAATCCTATATGTTTTCACTGTGTAAATTTTTATGTGGTAATATTTGCACATCCATAAAATTCATTTAATTCCTCACAATTCCAGTCACCACACATTTTCTTGTTTTATTTTTGTCAAATGCACCATAGTCCCTCAAATTCCTAATTTAAAATTGTTGTCACTGATGATGGTAGTTATTTCAAATGAAACGCTAAAAAAATATCAAGTGTTATACACCCTTGGATTGTGAATGTACTGCTTTTTCAATTTCTGTAATAACAAGGACAGGTCCGTATTTAAAAAAAGTTGATGATGGCCATGTTGACACGAAACGTTTTATCGAATATTCATTATTACATCGTCATAGTACACTTCGAATACAATAACATTTTTTTTCCATTTTAAGCAATACCAATTATTACATAATGGCCATTTTGAATCTATGGTCAATTAATTCCAAAGATTTCTTTTTGACTTCCTCTATATCAAATCTTGTTTTGTCGAAGTCCTTCAGATTGTCAATATTATCGATAATTTCGGACAAAGTCATTTCTTTATTTTCGTACATAAATTTTTCCTTAATCAAAACGAGACCCATAACAAATCCAAAATTAGAGTAACGGGTCCATTCATATTTGAGCATATGGAAAGGATAAGTGTCCGGATCGCACTCGTATTTCCTCAAAGTATTTCTCAAAGACTCGTGATAAACTTCCAGATAGTGATCCAGTTCATCAAAAATTTCTTTAGTACCTCCTGAATATATCAGATATGACAGGTCGTAAACTGGGGTCCCGACATAGGCAAATTGAAAATCTATTAGTCTGAGGTCTATTGGTTTCCCGGAATCCTGAAAAGTGAAGAAAATATTCAAAATTATGAACGTGAAAAAATTAATATTTTGATCAAATAAATATAGTAATACCTGTGGCACTTGTTCATTCATTTCGTTTCAATACAAAAATATCTATTAGGATGTTTCATTTTCAGGCGATATTTTTTTCCTCGGTCCTACCTGAAAATCTGATAATTTGTAGAAAAACAATATAGTTCCGCCGGAAAAAATCCCATTTCGATTAGAGGTTTTGCTCATTCAAAAATTCGATTTTCCGTATAAATAACAGGGAAAAATTTTGTTTTCAGTTTCAACTCGATTTTTCGGTATTGAAAAATTTATTGAGAAGAAATAAGTAAACAGCTTTTGTAGAAAATTGAATTTGCTACAAAAATGTTCCGTTTTTCAAATACTCTCCAATCAACAGTTTTTGAGTTGAAGAAGTGGAAAGGTGAATGTTGATAATAATTGATACCAAATTTTCTTGAAATCGTAAGTATTTGTTATTTCAGTAAGTATTATTCACAATAGACGCTACGAAGTTATGAAATTGTTATTTATAGACTATAATTTGTATTTAGTGAATAAATATGAACTTCAATGTATAAATCATTAGAAATACTGAAATTACACACAAGAAACACACACACTCGCTAAATACAGAATTTTCTTTCTGAAATTTGAAATTTGATAACTTTGTAGTGTTTATTATGAATAATATTTACTGTAAGATAAAAAAAATTTAATTCAAAGAAAATTTGGTGTCACTGATTATTAAAATTCTCCTTTCCAACTTACAGCTCAAAAACTGTTGATGGGAGAGTATCGGGATAGCTTCATTGCTTCATTTCTTCTAAAAAAATGTTCAATACTGAAAAATAGAGTTGAAACTGAAAAAAACATCCATCTTATTTAAATGAGAAATCGAATTTGAATAAGCAAAGCCTCTAATTTACTTACAATTTTTACAATGAAATTTGACTGAGAAAAAAATATCGCTTTAAAATGAAACACACTAATATCTATACGTAGAATACCTATTTTTCACGAAATGTACGAAACTTAGGTACTCTCTTGTCTATCTGAAAAACTCCATTTATTCATTTACAATTCATAAGATTTGAATATACTGAATCTTGAAAATGTCTTATCAAAATAATAATGATCGGAAAACAGTTTTTTTTTGAACATCAGCACTGATCTTCGTTCAACTTGTATAGAGAAAGTAACATTATCATTCAGTTTTGCCTATTGCACAAATCATTTCTCCATATTAATCGTATTTTTTTTTGGTGTCATCCGAAAATAGATACCTCAACAGAAATAAATACTAAGTAATTTGAAAACCTCTGGAAGGCCTTTGCAGAAAATCAAAAAAATATGTAGGTTTAACATCAAAATTATACAAGAAAATTAATATTTCGGAATGAAATTTCGAAATATTCATCTGGGGAAGTAAACAAATCATTTTTGTCATTTAGGATTTTTCACTTCCCTGAAATCAAAAAAAAACTTTTTAGAGCAAATTAAATATGAATGAATTTATAACTACGTTCGAAAAAAAATGTATTCAACTTGTCAGTAACTTATTAGATATATTCATATACTTTTAAATGAAAAAATGTATGAAGAATATATGAATTTTGAATGGAAATGCACTCTTTTTGATTTTCGAGAAGAAAAAACCCATACTTGCCGAGATAAACTGTAATTTTGACACCCTCATGAACTTTTCAATGTATAAGTCATTGGTTATTTCGAGTTTGAACTCAATAAATGAGTAAAATGGGAAACCAAGTTTTCTATACATTCAAGGTATCAACGTTCATTTGTCTAAGTAATTGTCATATGAAGAGGAATTAATGGTATTAATTTCTTAACCTAACCTTTCTTCAATGTTCCAGGCTATCTAGGTTGCACGTTATGTAATCGTCTCCAACCAGGCGGATGGCTCTTTTCTGGATGGAATCCAGCAACTTCAAGGTATGTTTGGGGACAGAGCTCCATACATGAGACCAATACTCCAAAGAAGGTCTAATCCCAATCGGAGCTTTATAAAGCATGAAAATTTGCCGAGATGTGTACAGTTTTCCGATTTGGAACTGTCAAACGGGCAAGATATTCAAGTATAAGAAAATTTGTACTTTTTTATAAGAAAGCAAATGACGTGACATCACTCGCCGCAGAGAGAGCACTTTCAATTTAATTTTATATCGAAAGGGGATCTTTACTGTTTTGAATTTGAATAACCGGTTGCGGAGTTATTGGTGTATGAAAAATGATAATTCGTAACTTTGCAACCGAAAGAGGACTGAAATATTCCCAAAGTTAGTAAACACAAGTTACAAAAAATGTGTGATGTATAAGAGAAATGAAATTTTAGTAAACCTCTTTATTTCTATGGTTTACCAAAAATACATAAACGTAATGTTCCTTTAAGACCAATTGTAAGTTAAATTGCATCTCCCTGTCAGAAATTAGCGAGACACTTTTTGAATATTTTGAAATCAATATCTGGAAATATTAATAGTTTCCTGAAAATACAACCCATTTCATAGATAAACTTAAAGATATTAACACTCAGTGATGGTGATGTTCTAATGAGCTTTGATGTTGAAAGTCTTTTCACGAATGTTCCTGTTGATAAAACTCTTCAAATTGTCAGATCCAGGTTGGAAAATGACTCAACTTTTAGAAGAGATTAACATTTGGAAAAAATCGTTTTCTCCATCTTGATACAAATGTGGGAAGGAAAAGAAAAGAAGCAATTAATTAACTATATACAAAGATGTGTAAATCATGGAAAGAAGTAACTTCCAGATATAAACTGGAAGAGAAAGCACTCTCGAAACAGATATTTTCATATGCACATTGAATTACACGAATGAAAAATACTTTCAACATAAATATTTTTATAAAACGCTGAATTATAGGAAAAACACTTCTCTATTCTGTTTGTATTCCAAACATTCGTAATGAAATCGATATCATTCACATGATACCTACACAATATAATTGAATAAGTTAAATTTCACTGTCATCCTGACTGGTAGACGTCCGATGTTTCGCCGTAAGACACTTGCCTAATCGGTTCCTCAGTAGCAAATACGTACAAATAACATTATGAGAAAATACAGTCATTAGTCAGTGAGCTATGCTTGAAGACTGGCAGTAAACAAATCTAAAGAAATGAACTTTAAACGTGCAAGCCAGTCTTGAATATACCTACACAGTAGGTACTGACGCCTATCAGAAAACAACTACTCCCCTGGCTAATACCACGAAGGGCGTTGGATTATATCCGACAGGCGTCAGTGCAGGAATTTTCACAGAAAATTTCCTGCATATGCAATTGGAAATACAACTCAAATAATCGACCTTCAATTTTGGAACGGGCACACTTGCAGACCAGTTTCGGGCTCATCAGCCACTCATCAGTGTAAGATAGTGACCATCATCGACCTAAAGGTAATGATATTCCATAATTGAAAATCGGAATTCTTTCAGAGTATTTCATTCCTCATCCTAAGTTGGAGCGAAACAACAAAATGTCACTCCATCCAGTGGACGAGGTACTAACCAACTGCATGCGTAATTTGCCCGATTCCTCTGAATAAGGAAGATAAACTTTCTTATTAGTCAGTGGGCTATGCTTGAAGACTGGCAGTAAACAAATCTAAAGAAATGAACTTTAAACGTTCAAGCCAGTCTCGAATATACCGACACAGTAGGTTGAATGGACTGACCCCTATCAGAAAACAACTACTCCTCTGGCAACGCCCTTCGTGGTATTAGTCAGAGGAGTAGTTGTTTTCTGATAGGCATCAGTCATTTTACCTACTGTGTAGGTATATTCGAGACTGACTTGAACGTTAAAAGTTCATTTCTTTGGATTTGTTTACTGCCAGTCTTCAAGCATGTGTCTTCGATGAGAGTGAGTAAATATCATTAATTCGCTAATTTGATCGAATCCCAGCCATAGGAATCTTGTTTAAATTGAAAGGGTATAGAGGTTCATTTTTGAGAACGTTTTTGGCTTTCTACTTCTTCATTATGATTAAAAAAATGTGGGTTTCTTCTTCTAGTTTGTGTCTAAAAGTTACTTCTTTGCATGATCTTCACATCTTTGTATATAGTTGATTTTTTAAATTGATTGCTTCCTTTCTTTTTTTGTGTCAAGATGGAGAAGTAGAAAGCCAGAAACTTTTTTACCGAAACTTGTTCTAGCATTATCCCAGAAACATTCCAAACTATTGAAAGTGAGTTCGAAAATAGACTGTTTCACTTTCAGGGGATCCAAGAAGGACATTTCGAGTATTTGCTCAAATTATCCACGATAATAATCAAATAATTTTCACAAACATTTTTCATTTATAGACGTATTTCGCTAACATCGCAGCTTTCTCGATAGAAATGAATGTTGACGGAATGAAGTGTTAATAATTTTCATCAAGTCCATTCAAAATCTGCTGAAATTATTTTTTCATGTATGAGATGAATAATTACGAGGTTAAAGTCGAGTACTATTGGTTTATGCCCTTGAAACGAACACTCGACTATGGCAAAATATCTCACTATTTTTTTCTCTTTCCAGTGAACAATAATTTTAAAAAATATAACAGGGTGGCGAAGTTAGGGAATTCCTGGATGTCGCAGCAATATCATGGTAGACCCCCCGATTGGTTATGCAAAATTTCAAGTCCCTACTGCCGACCGTTGAGGAGTTCTCTGGGTTGGAGCCAACCCAGAGAAGGTGACAGTAATTTCATGATGGACCCACTAATTGTCATCTATACTCCAATGGGTGAGGAGTTTCCCGGTTTGGAACCAATCCTGACAGCAGCATCACCTCATGCTTATCATAAGCATGCATTGTCATCGGGACTGGACCAGTATGTCAGATTTCAGCTCATTCGGATACCGGGTAGTGGGTCAAATTCAACTTGCAAGATTTCATCTTCGCATACAAACATAGGTAAATATTCGTTTTGAGGGCCCTCGGCAATTTTGAAAAAAAAAATTGAGTGTACTTACGTATCTCGACGCGTAGATTACGAATCCGAAAAGAAAAAGCGACGCTCTCTTTCATTTCCAAAGCTACGACCCTTCAAAGTTCAGAAAAGGCCAACTTTTCAGCCATCTTTTTCACAAGATAAACTATTCAAACATACAAGCATTCATTCTCTAGATTACCTTAACACTTCAACAATCAACAGTTTTCCGATAAAAATGTTAAAAAAATGTACGGAGTTGTTTTTTAGTTATATAAGGTGTATTAAGATAAGATGGATTTAAGAAGTAAACTAACAGCAGTTTTGTCAGGAACTGGGACAATAAAAACTTTTTGGTATTTCTATCTATATCTGCAAAAAGCCATTGCCCGTCTACCAATCGTCCTCTGTTAAATTCACTTTTACCAAACTTAGCCTCGTCAATTTCCACGATTTTTTCAACTCCGCCCAATTTAAACATGTTCTTATTGCACCATTTCAAACAAACCTAAAATGATAGTGAATGTAATAATACACAATACGTCAACAAAAACCAGATGTTTTACTTCTCTGCAATGATTGTTTCAATCGATTACAGCTTCTGAGCTCATTTTCAGTTCATTCCTGATAAATTTGATTCTAAAGTGCGGAATAAATAAGAAGTATGCTATGAACAGTACAATTTTTTCCAATTCCAATTTACATTCAAAGAAGGTTCAGTTCTGGCACTTTTTTTAAAATTACAACAAATGTACTAAGCTTTTTTCTTCGGTATTTTGATTTTCCGTTTTTTGTTACATTTATACAGTAAAGTGTGATAATTCAATTTGCACTCTTCATCGCAATTAAAACAACGCATTGTTGCTGCAAACACTCCCACTTGAACTAAATAAAGAATTAAATTTTCTCTTACTTTCACTAAATTAATAATTTCGTTCAAATTCATTTTGTGTTTTTCTAATCACTCACGTCAAACTGAAAATCCAAATCTACGAATTTGAAATAATAGGCGACGACAAATACCAACCGCTTTTTTCTGAACTGTCACTAACAAATGTACTAAGCTTTTTTCTTCGGTATTTTGATTTTCCGTTTTTTGTTACATTTATACAGTAAAGTGTGATAATTCAATTTGCACTCTTCATTGCAATTAAAGCAACGCATTGCTGCTGCAAACACTCCCACTTGAACTAAATAAAGAATTGAATTTTCTCTTACTTTCACTAAATTAATAATTTCGTTCAAATTCATTTTGTGTTTTTCTAATCACTCACGTCAAACTGAAAACCCAAATCTACGAATTTGAAATAATAGGCGACGGCAAATACCAACCGTTTTTTTCTGAACTGTCACTAGTAACTAATCTAGAATTAGAAGAATGTCACCACAAGAAACATTCGTTTATGAAGTTTTTTTTTAAGAAAAATGTTGTCAATTAAGGAGTAATAAGGTGTAAAGGTGACCTAGTGAATAAATGCTTGTGTTTTTGAATGGTTCATCTTGTGAAAAAGAAGACTGAAAAGTTACCCTTTTCTGAACTTTGAAGGGCCATAACTTTGTAAATAAGGGAGAACGCCGCTTTTTTCTTTCGGATTCGTAATGTACGTATCAAAATACGTAAGTATACTCTTCAACTTTCTTCAAAATTGCCGGGTGTCCTCAAAATGAATATTTACCCAAACATACATTCAAGTCGAATTAAAAGCTTTTAATTGATTAATTAATAAAAATTGAAGTTACTCACGTTATATTTCAGCATTATGTTATGGCTCCAGCAATCACCGTGTAGAATAACACTGTAATCATCGCAGTATCTGGTGGGCCGCATAGATTTCTCTAAATCTTGGGCATATTTGAGAAATCCTATCATGGGTCCTTTTTTCGATTCAGAAACTAAGTACGCGTAACACTGATGCATTGTAATTTCTAAGTATACTTTCATAGCTGGTAGTTTATTGATATCTTTCCAGAAATCATACATTTTTGCAGTGTAATATTTAAACTGTTTGTTGAACTTCAGTTTGTAAGCCATAGATACTCCATGGAATTTTCCGTACTCCTTGAGGATCAGTTCGAGATGTTCCTTATCGTAAAACAATCGCCTTTCGGCTGGTTTGAAGTTCTTATACTTTAAATTTTCCAAAACCAATTGGTCATGTTTTTCGGATACCACATGACAGGTAGGTATTTTATTGAACCTTGCTTTACCAGTGCCATAATATAGTTCTTGGAAACTTAGAAGTGTGGGCCAAATTTTATTGTAAAATAAACATTCATTTTGAAAAATTCTACTTATCGGAAAGTTTCTTCTTATCTTCTGTTTCTCCAGGGCCTTTTTTATCACTACGTATCGTTCAATATGTTTCTCATCATAATGGATAATGACATAATACATAGTTCCCAAATATCCACTTTCACTTTTAGTTTTTTCTTCAACTTCGTACGACAGTGTTGACATCTTGTCTTTATTTGCAACCTTATTCAGCATTACGGCGACGTCTGGTTCTAACTTTTCCATTTTATATTATTCAAGTATTGTAAAATTCAGACTAAATTTTGCTAGCTTCAAATTGTTTCAACAGAATACGGCTTCTTTTTCATTTTTGTTTTTAACTTTTTACTGTAATTCTTTTTGTACAATTCTCTTTGAGGGACAAAAAAGTCAAACAATTCATATATATTTATACAGGTGCTTTCAGAAAATTTTATGATATGAAATATAAATCGATTTGATCATTTCTTTTTGAACTAGATTTTCAGATGCCAAGCTCAATAAACCAATCCTATATCTTTCTGAGACAGCACAAAAAATAATCTTTTTCGCCTGATAGTTTTAATTTTGCGATATTTCGCAAGATCACAATTCAAGATTCTGGTTAGGTTAGGCTAGGTTAGGCTAACGTGTATCATGGGACAGTGTTTGTTTCTGGTGTAGAAAAACGGTTTTCTTCAGATACATTTTACGTCAAAGCACAGAGAAGGAATTCCCGCCTCGACATAGGCGTCGACATATCATTTTCCAATGGTAGTCTTTCAATTACTTATTCTTACAATCATAGCAACTGATCACCTCATGAAAAAGTTATCTCAACTGAATTTTTCCACCATGAGTAATCATGAAAAATTTCGAAATTCAAGGTAGTTGATTTCCGAGTCGAAAACTCTAAAACACAATGAAAAAACAAATAATCACACCGAATTCTCGTCAAACATATATTTACAAAATAATAGAGGCCAACAAAATGCTAGAAAAATCAAAATTCTTCTTCGCTATATTTGGATGAGGTGGAATCATCATCGGGTTGAATAACGGTCGGATTTATGGAACTTCTTTTATAACGTGGGCCACACAGTTCTTCCACACATCACTATTACCTACTTCATTCACCACTCGCCTTATATTGTCAAGCACCACAGCATTCAAAGTCGGTGACTGATTACATTTCCGTGAGCTTCCTTTCACTGTGGCCCAAACCATTTCAATTGGATTGAAACAATACTCGGTTTCGTCTACCCAGGCATATTTGACAACATCATGGGTATCAAACCAAGTTTCGTCGAGGTAGCTTATATGTCTGCTGGATTCTCGGTAGCTTTTCATTCGCCTCAAATATTCTTGTTGGAGTTGAACAATGCGTGTCGATTCCATTATGACCATCTGATTGTTCAATGTTTTATATTTGAAACCACAAGACAATAAGACACCTCGTAGAATTTCTGAAGATTTGTAATTGTAATCGGGATAGTCGAGTAATTTATACCAAATCATTTCCAAGGTTGGTACTCCATTTTTCTGGTATATACCATGAATTGTTCGCCGATTCACATCTTTTGTAGCACCATCAACGTTTGCGAATTTTTTATTCCTTTGTTTTCGTTTCATTGCGTAGTCAATGACTGTACGTATTTTGATGACTCGAAGAACTGTCGAAGGAGTTTCGTTAATTCGCATATTCAATTCACAATAGCATTCTGTCAAGTATGGCAGTTTTTCTTCTTCAAGCATTCATGAATATTTTTCAAAATTACTCGCTGAACTTGAACATGTAAGTCCTTATTTTTAAATTACGGATCCCTGTCGACTGACAGATTCCTCACACGTAATGTTATCATTTGTTTCAAGGTCTCCAGAAAGCTATATTGATGAAAGTACCCAAAAACACTAAGATTTTCCTAAAAACCGGTTCAAAGGATGAGATTGGAACGTTTGGTGTAAAAGTTGAAAACTTTTTCTAGATATTAATTACCCTAACACCAAACTGATATTTTTGCACTCGACGCGCGTTTCGCTAACAAGGTTAGCATCTTCAGGATAAGCAAATTGATACTGAATCTGAAGACAAGGGTTAGCTGTTTATATACCTAAAGTTTTTTGGTCCGATGTGTACTTTGTTTGTTGAATGATTATTATCCTAATTGATTTTCAACAATAGACAATAGATTGAAAAGCGGACAAATTAATTTGCAGGTAGTGGCTCCACTAGTTAATTACCGAAAAATCAATTAGGATAATCATCATTTAACAAACAAAGTGCACATCGGACCAAAAAACTTTTGGTATATAAACAGCTAACGCTTGTCTTTAAATTCAGTATCAATTTGCTTCTCCTGAAGATGCTAACCTTGTTAGCGAAACGCGCGTCGAGTGCAAAAATATCAGTTTGGTGTTAAGGTTATTGATCTCTAGAAATAGTTTTCAAAAATCGGTTTGCAAAACCACTCACTGCCTCACCTAACCCTACGAACACACGCCACTGATGAAGAAATATTGTGAAACGGACAAAAAATTAGTATTCAGCCAGTCCAGCTAGCCGAGCCTTCATTTCTCAACTAAATTTGATAGCACGTTTACTAACTATCTGGGCGACTAGGGGCCACAGGCCAGAAATGTTTATGACTGTACTCTCATTTTTATTGCCGTTCCAATTTGGAATGAATAGACATGTAAATTGGAGGTAACATATATAATTTGATGAAGGTCAATATCGTATTCGTCCAAATAGCTTTCCAATCAAAATTGGTTAATTAAACCCATTAAAATGGGTATGTTTCCATTGGAATATTGGAAAAAATAGTTAGTTAGTTAGTTAGTTTCTAAATGTAATAGATGGTGGGAATTGTAAGATATTTACTATTATAGGAACATATCTTTCAGTTATGTGAATAAAATAAGTGAAAACATTTTTATGCTAAACGGTTCTATTGAAAAAACATACTGATGTAGATAATGCACTAAAAATTGAAAAATACCTAATTTGGAAGATCCTAGGTAGCAGTCATCACATTACCACATGACAGGTAGGTATTTTATTGAACCATGCTTTACCAGTGCCATAATATAGTTCTTGGAAACAAAGTCACCTTCACAAGAAACAGAACACACTACGCCTATAAAGATAAGGACGCTTGATAATGAAGAAACCGGATGACTATTTATGGCATTTTAAGGACGCAAATATAATAGACCTGCGAAGTGTTGATCAGTTTACCGATATTTCAAAGTATTTAATGAAATGGTTTACCTATTCGCTCGTACATCCTATCGATATGCCGAAGCTATCTTGTTACGGGGGTCAAATTTTATGGAATCATCTTACTTTTCAATTATTCACAATGGCGATGCATAGACAATAAAAATGACCCTGGTAAGAATTTACTTTTAACATTTAACATTGTTGCCGTTAGCTCTCAGTTCAATTTGTATATGAGTTATATTCAAATGAAAATTGTTATACTTTAATATGTGTGACATACGATAGAAGGTCACCTGTTGATCTTTGTTTTCGAAAGCCATATTGATGATCGCTCAAGATGTAGAAGCCTTCCAAATATTTAGAGATATGGTGGTTCTGGAATAATGCTGTGTCACCCATGAATCAGGTGCTCCTTTGCCTCAGATTTCATGCTACAGGATGTTCGCAGCTTACTGTAGGTGATTCCAGTTGCATGAGTGGCAATAGCGTATAGAATCATCATAAGGTGTCTGGAGCTATAGCCTCACTGTATAGAGATCATATCTTTCTCCCGAGGACATCCGCTGAGATGTCTAGAACACAAATGGAATTTTACCAAATTGCTGGTTTTCTTCAGGTGTTGGATGCTGTGGACTGTACTCACATTTAAATATGTTCTCCCGATAAAAATCTACATGATGAAATTATATTTCTCTACATATTGTAGTTTTCCAGCTGGTGATAATGCTGAATATTTCAGAAAACGGAAGAAAACGATCAAATTGTCTTCGATCAGAAAAGTTTGGTTTGAAGAACAGCGTAATTGTAATGTTGTTCTTCGTGGCGACTCTGCATATCAATGTAGACGATATATGATGACACCTTTAGCTGAATCTGAAAAAACACTATACAATAAATCTAAAATAAGGATACGGCTGTCGGTGATCGTTATTGTTTTAAGCTTATTAAAAAAATATTTTTAACTTTTTAGTTTTCCGAAAGCGTGTTTTGCAGTTTTTTTGAACTATATTTTCATACTATACTTGACTACATGAAAACTAATTTTTATACTTCTGCTCTGAATTGGCCAGAAATATAGATTGAATAAGAACTGACTTTCTCAAAATATTTGTATATAATGGTGTTTCATTTTTCCAATAGAATTAGAGTATCATTAATATATTATCGTTTTATTTTCTTACCTCAGTCCCGAGGTGAAGGGTCAAATAACAAATAAAATCATTTATTGGAAATATTCAAGCAAGATGAAACAAGTTTCCTAATACTCTGATGTATATACTTGAGAATAGTGACAAATGAACTTCAATTTTATACAGCAGAAAATAATTGATAGGTTTTTATCGAGTCTCACCTCAAGTTTTCGCAACACACAGCAGATGAACAGTTTTAACACTCCAGAAAAGCGCAGCATATTTGCCATATGGATTGCGTACAACTCTCCAACGAAAATTTTGACAATATTTTATTGCAGAAATATTCAATATCATTCACCAACTGGCATGAGGCATTTGAAGAAAAGATTTCTTTCAAATGAGATTCACTATAGCTTTGATGAATTTAACTATTTATTTTTCTCGTACATGAAACGATGAAACTCCTGATCGTTTTGGGGTTCAACTCAGGACACCTCGAATTTGACTATTTAAGAACTCTTTCATTTGAAGAACTGCGTTTATGTGGAATAAACTTCCTGAGAATTTTTCCAAGTAAATTTAATCTCAAGGAATTCCAATTCATCTTGAATCGCTACTTTCTCACAGGCACTGCTTTCAGAGCGTCTTGAGATTTTTATGTAGTGCTTGCGTTTTGTCCTTAAATGAGGGGACCAGACAGTGTTTACAGAGTTTCACTGTGATTTTATGGACTCGACCTGTTTAACTGATTAATTTCTCATATGTCTCAAAATTTCGATTTTAAAACTGAGTTTTTTGAGTTAATATTATCATTTTCTTCTTTTGAGAAAAATCTTAACATATATCCCTCATACACCAAGTCCAATTAATCAAAGTGAGTGTGATTCCACAGTTTAAGAAAATTTACTGTTGAGCTAATTGTTTCATGTAAAATAATTTAAGACAAAATGAAATATTATGGGGTAATGGAGAAAGTAACTATTAT